CAGGAAGTAGCATGGAAGCTAATGAAATGAGAGTGCTGAAATGTCATGACAAATAAGACAAATAGGAACAAATGCATGAGTGCAATGCAATGCATATGACAGTACACTCCGGTACCCACTGCGGCGTGCAGTCCGAGCCATCCATATATTTAACGTCGTCAGCGTTCACTGGGGGTGTGTACAGACTCCGGAGGGGCTCCTACAGCCCAAGCGCAATATCAAGCCATCTCGTGGCATCGGCCAGGCTCTCGGCCTCAATATCAAAGTAACCATCCAGGCCCTCGGCCTCAAGATCAATGTAATCAACCAGGCTCTCAGCCTCAAAATCAATATAACACTGCTGCGGCGTGCAGCCCGATCCATGCTCAGTCCAGAAATGCACATATAACACTGCTGCGGCGCGCAACCCGATCCATGCACAGTCCAGAAATGCACATAAGCCACTTGGGCAATGTTAAAATAATAGTTCTCAGCTCAAAACGTCAATAAATTATAGTTTAAGTTTTCAAATCTTAGAAAGATGGCTGAGTTTCCGAAACAGTATTTAAAACCTTGGACCGAGATCAAATAATATGCAAAAATAATGCGAAAACGGTGATATCAATCCCTGAAGGATTCAAATAATTGGCACGAAGCCCAAATACGGCAATTAGCCCAAATCATGAAATATCAAATAAGTTTCAGCCAATTACGCGGTAAAATCAACAACCGGGACGGACCAAGTCACAATCCCCAACGGTGCTCTATCCCCCCCCCCTATCCGGCGTGCAAGTCACCTCAATATAGCACTATGGGTGCAAATCCGGGGTTTCAAACCCTCAGGATATCATTTACAATCATTACTCACCATAAACCGGTGAAATCTCTAGCTCGCGACGCCTTTGCCCCTCAAATCGGCCTACACGCGCGTTGAATCTAACCAAAATCAGAGCGAATACATCACAATATGCTAAGGGAACAATACCCAATCGAAAACAATCAAAAAATAGCAAAAATCTCGAAACTAGCAAAACCCGAGCCTCGGGCCCACTTCTCGAAAAATCAAAAAATTCACATCAATGGATTCCTCATCTCGCCACGAGTCTATACATATCAAATTTACCAAAATCCGAGCTCAAATGCTCCCTCAAATCCCAAATTTAAATCTCAAAATCCCAAGCCCAAGTTCATTAATTTTAGGCTTAATTCCATGGATTTCTAGGTGGATTTCACAATAAAAACGAGTATGGAGTTCAAAAATCTTACCTCCAAAATATTTTCTTCGAATCCCTCTTTAATCCCCGTCCAAAAGCTCTCAACAATGCCCAAAAATGGTGGAAAAATGGGCTGGGTTCGCGGATGAAATGTTTTAAAACATTCTGCCCAGGTCTGACCCCTCCTTCTTCACGAACGCGAGGGCTATCCCGCGTTCGCGATGCTCAAATTTTCCATCTGCCAAAAATGCCCTTCGCGAACGCGGCCCACACCACGCGAACGCGAAGCTTTATTCCTCATACATACGCGAACGCGACACACATGATGCGAACGCGAAGACCAAAAATCCTGAACCTCAATTCCTTATACGCGTTCGCGGCTACTGCCTCGCGAACGCGATGCACACTCAGCTACCCCTCCGCGAACGCGAACCCACACATCGCGAACGCGAAAAGTAATTCACCTGCCTTCCAATTCCCTTCTTCGCGAACGCGACACACCTACGCGATCGCGAAGGTATAAAACCTGCAACACCTGATCTGAAATTTCTACAATATTTTCCAAGTTCCAAACTTCCCGTTAGCCATCCGGAATCACCCCGAGGCCCCCGGGACCTCAACCAAAAGCACCAACACACCCTGAATCATCATCCAAGCTTGTTCCAATCATCAAAACACCTCAAACAACACCAAAACCACCAAATTACATCAGATTCAAGCCTAAGTTTCTCAAAACTTCCGAAATGCACTTCCAATCAAAAACCCGACCAAACGACGTCCGAATGACCTGAAATTTTGTACACAAATCACATAACGAAGCGACAGCAACTCTCGAAATTCCATTCCGACCCTCGGATCAAAATCTCACCCAACAACCGAATTTCGCCAAAATTCTAATTTCGCCAATTCAAGCCTAATTCTACACCGGACCTCCAAAATCAATTCCGATCACACTCCTAAGTCATAAATCACTTCCCGAAGCTAACCGAATCACCGGAAATCACATCCGAGCCTTCTAACTCATAAGTCAACGTCCAGTTGACTTTTCCAACTTAAGCCTTCTTAAAAGAGACTAAGTGCCTCATTTCTACCAAAACCAATCCGAATCAACTATAACACACCAAATACTGATAATGAAACATGAAGAAGCAGAAAATGGGGGGAAACGGAGCGGTAACTCATGAGACGACGGGTCGGGTCGTCACAGATGGAGTATTCTAATAGTTCATTGAAAAAGATAAAAATTGAAAGATCAATTGACGTCACAGTTACATTTTTTATCACTCCTCTAAAGGGCTGCTATTTAGGAATTAACTAATGTGTCCTTAATTTCAGTTTTTTAGTTAAATTTTTGTGACACAAATATCCTAAATTGTCTTGAAATTAAAATTTTTAGTTCAAATTTTCAGAACAAAATAAGTACTAATTCCCAAATAACAGCCCTAAGAATGGCTGTTTGTGCACTTTCCCGGGAATGATTACATTTGCTGTTGATGTCCATGGGCTGAACCAATATATATGTTGAGCCCTGACCCAAGTGAATTAAAGCCTATTGAAGTGTCATTCATAGGGTCCTAATAGAGGTATAATATAGGAATTTTTACCTCTTGTAGCAAAGGTTGATACCTTATTTATTTTAAATAAATACCCTTTTAAAAAAGAGGCTTTTTCGTATATATACCATATATGAAACTATATTACCAAATATGTTCATAGTTTGCTTATTACCCTTCATGTTAATAGTATTTCTACCTAATATATACAATGCATTAAATAAGGAATCACTGTAGCTTTATGATTCCTTATTTTGCGCGCTAAAAAAGGGGAAATTAAATATTTTCCAGATCTTCCCCAACGCAAATGACGCACATTCCATAATTATCGTCGGCTTCACTCTGATCTTCCACAACGCAGAACAAGATTTTCTATACTCTGTTTTTGCGATACACTCTGTTTTCAGAAATTCTCTCTACATCTCTCTCTATTTCTCAATCGCAAATTTCAGTAATACAAAGCAAATGAAAAGAGAGCAGCAATTCCACCATTGACAGCCATTAAAAAGCTTGAAAGCTTTGAATTCAAATTTGGGTTTTCAAAAATTATTATTTGTTTGGATTGGGTGCTGTTGAAAATATTCGGGACTATGGTTTGGAGTTTATATCTCAATTTTGAGGGGTTTTGGTGAAGATTAGACTTGGTTTTGACTGAATTTCAGATTGAAACTCGAAGAAGAAGACATATTGCAGAAATTGTAGATAAATTATAGATTATTTGTATTCTGATTGTAGATGCTTTATTTTCTGTTTTCACAAATAAAAAAGGGCTAAAACTTCTACAAATCTTCTGAAAAAACGCAATTACGTCAAAAATTCTAATTATGCTACAATTGAATGGGAATTGGGATATAAAAACAATGTACCCAGGTTGTAGATATTTTGTAGATAAATTGTAGATTATTTGTATTCTAATTGTAGATGCTTTGTTTTTTGTTTTCACAAATCAAAAACGACTAAAACTTCTACAAATCTTCTTCAAAAAATGAAATTATGTCGAAAATCCCAATTAAACTTCAATCGAATGGGAATTGGGATATTAAAATTCAATATACCTAGTTTGTAGATATTTTGTAGATGAATTGTAGATTATTGTATTCTGATTGTAGATGCTTTGTTTTCTGTTTTCACAAATCAAAAACGACTAAAACTTCTACAAATCTTCTACAAAAAACGCAATTATGTCGAAAATCACAATTAAACTACGATCGAATGGGAATTGGGATATTAAAATTCAATATACCCAGTTTCTAGATATTTTGTAGATGAATTGTAGATTATTTGTATTCTGATTGTAGATGCATTTTTTTCTGTTTTCACAAATCCAAAACGACTAAAACTTCTACAAAATCTTCTGCAAAAAATGCAATTATGTCGAAAATACCAATTAAGCTACAATTGAATGGGAATTGGGATATTAAAATTCAATGCACCCAGTTTGTAGATTCTTCCACCATTGCAAAAACTCAGTTCGTCGACATTCTCTATGTGGCATAGGAATGTAAAAATTCTATATATATATATATAGAGAGAGACCATTCAAAAATAAATTCTTCTATTTCCTATTATGCATGAATTGCTAAGATGATCTCTAAGTGCGTCTGCGCACTGTAATAAGCTTGTACTATATTTATTGTATGTATATCACATTAATTTTTAAGAAAGCTAATGTCGATTTTATGGATTCATCTACGTCTACAATTTTTGGGCAGCTTATGGCTCACTTTTTGCTCAATATTTAAATCTGGAAATTACTTGCTATTAGTAAGCAGTTCAATTTAAATGACGCTTTTCATTTTGAAGACTTTCAAGCATTAACATCTACTGCACCTTTTCTTTTGAATTTATCTTTTTTAGTATTAATATCTTAATATATTTTCTACTATTACCTACAGTTAAATTAATTTATCTTAAACTCGTAGTCCAATAGTATAACAGAAATGAATTTTTGGGAGAGAGAGAAACGTGGGATGAGTGGAGATACTTATCTATACAGATTCCTTTAATTAAGGAGTAAAAACGTATAATTAATTATACCCTTAATTAATTATGGTATAGAATTGGTAATTTGGTATACTAAGTGTAATTAAGTCAAACCTTAAACATTGAGGGTTCAGATGAATCCCCTTACGCCCCCTAAATCCGCCCCTGGTAGTGTGTACGAGACCTTACCCCTACCCCGAGAAGTAGAGAGGTTGTTTCCGAATGATCCTCGGCTCAAGAAAACAGAAAGACAAAAGGGAGACAATATTAGTATCACCACATAAATCATGAACAATTACAAAAGATACCTACAAAAAGTTTTTAAAAAATTCCAATCTTGAAAGTGGAAGAATTACAAAGAATGCAAAAAATAGGGGCTAGTAATAAAAAATACAGGGAAAATTTCATGGAAAATGTGCAAAGATAGCCTTCACATTACTTCAATCTACATTGCTCCTACTATGTATTTCAACTGGTTTTCATCAACCAGAATTTCTTCACACACAAGGGATCAACAGAAGAAGTTAATTTCAACTTTTGCACAAAGATAAGGCCATGACCAAATCAATGAATAAATAGATTTCTCATTGCACTACTCTATCCGCGAAGCAACAACAACAACAATCGCCTCAGACCCAAACAAGTTGAGGTCGGCTATATGAGTCATCATTGACCATGTCCACCATTTAAATTCATCTCAAGCCAACATTATAATAATCTGCCCCTTTCTACGATCAACTTTCCTTCCGTGTATGGATAGCAAAGATATTTTCCACTAAAGTTGGTAATAGAAAAGGATTTACCTAGTGCTAGAATTCCCAAGTGTAAGCTCCAGATCATCGGTCACACACTCCTCGTGAATTCTTTCTCCTTCCCATGGCTTTACTAATCCCTTCATATTGCTGCCAAATGCAAACTCAGCTGAAATAGCATCCGACATTGGTACATCAGCTGTTTGGTCGATACCTGCTCCAATTGCTGGAGAACATGCCCCGCTTTGCCCTGGTGTCCACATCCGAGAGCCTCCATTTGATAATGGCTCCTTAAATCCAAATGGATTTGGTGAAACAAGGCTAAATGTCGGAGATGAAGGCTCATCTTGTGGAGTTTGAACACCAGAAAGCCAACCTGAATCTGGTGGTGTTTGACAACCAGGACTAGCTGGAGTAGAGGACGGCAAGAAAGCATAGTGTTGTTGTGCCCACGACGTTGAATTGGCCATGGGATCATCCTTCATCCGAGGAGTACGAGCTGTAGGAGAGCTCAAAGGTGGAGTAACGGGCGCACTTATAGAGCTCCCCGGAATGTACAAATGGTGGGAAAATTTGGATGAAGAAGGCGATGATCCAGACGAGAGATTCTTAAGCCAAGGAATTAGCGAGTTAGGATCGGAATTATTTTGGCTATTTGCAACGTAATGGGATGAGACCGGGCTAGGGAAAGATGACGAAGCAGGGCTTGGATTATATGAGGCACCTGGACTCGGTTGGTAAGATGAGCAGGGACTTACAGATGCTGAATAACATATATTATCCATACGTTCTACTGGCTTGCATCCCTGGAAAATAGAAGAATCTATAAGCATATTAAAAAACGGATAATCACAAAAAGAACTGACAATAAATCTGCCACCAGAACTATGCAATGTCACCGTGCCTCAAAGATGTCAAACATTCAAGTTCTAGATGCAGTATAAAGCCATAAACAAGTTGTTACTTGGTGCAAAGCAATAAGGCAGACCTGAATGTGCTGATAATTTTACAAGTCATAGATTAAAATATCAAATCAAACAAAGCAACCAAAGCACGAACACTCATTTTGCGCACTATTTGTACCTTGACCGCTCATCTCTATCATTGTTCATAAAAATATAGATGTGTCCACACAGAAGCAGAGACATCACTTAACATACAAATCGTATCATGAATGTGGAGTCACCTATATTTTGGTTCTTATGAATGTAGCAATTTGCTTTGTTGTTAATAGAAAACTTCTGCAACACAGTGAGTCAGTGACTAATTAACTTAGCTCTCCATATACAAAGACAAAGTGAAAACATGAAACAGATTGTGCGGGGATCAACATCATCGCTAAGATATGTTTAATGAACTAGTTGATGTATCTAATAACTAGCAGATAAGTTATTAACTTCTGAAATTATATTCATTGATGAATGGCTAGAACGTCACTTTGAGACCATTTCTCTTACTTATCTATTTACTAACATTGACCAAAGACTCAGAATCATGACAGCCATATCCCTACATATTAATGATAAAAGTACCAAACATACCCAAAAAAGGTTGGACATAACCCACACCCATATACCATAAAAAGGCAAAAGAATGATGGCACTATCAATAATGTCAACACCATCATTATAATTTACACTCTCTTAGTGGGCGTCTGGACATAAGAATTGTGAAATTTCGGAAAAAAGTGAATATTTTTAAGTGAAAATGATATTTGAAAATTTAAAGTTGTGTTTGGACATGAATACAATTTGGAGCCGTTTTTGAATTTTTGTGAGTGATTTGAAGTGAAAAATTTTGAAAACAATTTTTTGGAGTTTTTCAAATTTTCGAAGAATTTTAAAATTCAACTTCAAGTGAAATTTAAAATTTTCAAGACCAAACACTGATTTCGAGAAGAAATGAATTTGTTTGGAAAAAAAAGTGGAAAAAAAATTATGGCCAAACGGGCCTCGCCCAACAACAGCTCTTCTGCTATCCAATCCAAAATTAGTTTTGCCACACGCTCTAACAGCCTCAACAGCTATTTGTTTTTTCTTTTTTTGTGAAAGAGAATCCAAAGATTTTGATATCTACTTTCCTGTTATAATATAAAATCATACATTATCAACTTTATAACAAACTGCAATATAAAGTATAATAAATGATACCCCCAACATTTCAAGAACATCTAAGGCCCACAAATTGACAACCAATACACACCACCGAAAAGGAAACTATTGAATCCCATGCTTGACTTTAGTTGGGCAAGGTGTATTACCCCGGGAATCTCGGAAAGATAACCAAATTTAACACATAAAAGATTAGAAAACTAATTTAAGTTATATACACTAAGAATATAAATAATAAATGTAAGGTAGCATATACACAAGTTTTTTTCAAAGTTATTAATGAATAATGAAAATTTACATGTAATTGCAAGTATCTAGTGGAATTAGTCGAGGTGCACGCAAGTTGATCCGGACATTACGGTTATCAAAAAAATTTACATGTAATTGGCTTATTGTGTTAGTATATTACACACTAACACTGTATAAAACTTAAGCTCTTACCCCGTCTATTTTATTCATGTGATTATGTTTGCCTGGGCATGAAGTCAGGAGACTCAGGATAGAGAACTGCAAATTCTGCTAGCTTTCACCGCAGGTGAAATGAAGTAAATGAGACTTTAAAATCAATAAGGACTTGGCAAAATGACTGCCTTACCCTTCTATCACAAACCAAAAGAATATGAGAAAACGAGAAAACACAAGTAGCCCCAGGGGCATTCTCGTCAAATGATCATCTGGGTAAAATGTTCAGACTTTCAGAAAATCTCAGACTATGGTTTACACAAAAACAGAGAATCTAATGGATTTTGTCTTTTCAATATTTTGCATTTTCCATGTTCTGATCGAGAAAAAAAATTAAAATTTGCACGGTCCGAATCTCTAAGCTAGCATTTGGCCATAGATCCCAAATTTATTTTGAAAAATCTGATTTGGATGAAGTTTGGTTTGAAGATGAAAATGTGTTTGGACATACGTTTTCAAAACATATTTTCCATCTTTATTTTGGAAACACATGTATATAATTCCCAAATTTTGGGATTTTTACCCAAAATCAGCTCAATAGCTGATTTTGGGATTTGAAATTTGGGATTGGGGATTTAGCCAAAATATGAGCTAAATTTATGGCCAAACATGAGTTTTGAAAATAAATCCCAAATTTATTTTGAGAAAACTCATGGCCAAACGGGGCCTAAATCCTTTTAGCTTCGTATGTTTAATGGAAATATCAGTATTTAACTGAGTTATACAACAAGAAATACCTTTGATTTTTGAGGAAAAACAAATACTCCCTCCGTCCACTTAAAACTCCGTCTCATTTTAGGCGGTGTTATTTGACTGAGCCCAGATTTTAAAAAACAAATTTAAAATATTCAAACTTGTGGTCAAATACGAGAATTTTAAATCTACATTATTTCTAGAGAACTGACAGAAAAAAAGCGTGCACATAAATTAAGACGTTGAACATTATTTTCATGTTCTGATCGAGAAATAAAACCGAAAATTAGAGCTTCAGAACAAACAAAAAAAGTAATTTACCTTTTTGTAAGTGGTGCCATCTTCTTCAACAATCCAACCAGCTTCATTACACAGAGCTTTCAACACCTCATTATTATCACAGTGTTTTGGGAGCTTAAAATTACCATACATTCTAAGTCCGGCGAAGATCTTCGCCGCGATCGCCCTTCGCCGTCGTTCTCTCCGTTTGTTGTTCTCTCTCTCTTTCCATGACGGAAGTCTCGTGCCGGACGTCATTTACGACGCCTGTGAACCGGTTGCTCTGCTGTAAACCGGTATCGAACCGGACTTGAAGTCTTTCGACTCGGAACCAGTTTGGTTCAGGATCGGGCTTATGAACTGGAAATTGAAATAGCTGAAAGAGGAGGGAGAAGTAAATATGGAAACGTGACTTGAAGATGCCACTGAGTTATGATGAAATTACGAACATGCCACTATAGGTTTGTTTATAGCTAAAAAGTCCTGGAAACGTGGGTAGTGCACGTGACTAGTGAGCTTTGGACATAAAAATTGTAAAATTCTGGAAAAAAGTGGGGAAAAGAAAGAGGTTAAAAATGGTTTTGAAAAATAGAGTTATGTTTGGACATGAATTTAATTTGGAGCTATTTTAGAATTTTTGTAAGTGTTCTGAAGTGGAATTTTGAAAAATAGTTTTTTTTTGAAGTTTTGCACATTTCGAAAATTTTTGAAATTCAACTTCAAGTGAAATTTGAATTTTTCATAGCCAAATACTAATTCCGGAAAAAATAATAAATTACAACAACAACGACAACGACCCAGTGAAATTCCACTAGTAGGGTCTGGAGGAGGGTAGTGTGTACGCAGATTTTACCCCTACCCTGGAGGAGTAGAGAGACTGTTTCCGAAAGACCCTCGGCTCAAGAAGACAAAAAGATAAAAGGAGACAATATCAGTATCACCACAAAAATCATAGGAAAAATAGGAATATCATGACATCTAGAAGAAAGATGCAAAGCAAAAGCGATTACTAGTAAATAGGTCCGGCACTAAAAAGCGAAAAAGTAAGACACGACATTGCCACTAGCTATCTTAGACAAAAATCCTACCAGACTAGTCTCACAAAGGTACGAAGTAAGGCAAGACTTAACTACCTCCAAACCTACAACCCTAATTAGGGGTGTTCATGGTTCGGTGTGGATCGGTTTTTCCCTAAAAAGAAACCAAACCAAGTAAGTCGGTTTTTTCAAATATTAGAACCAAACCAAACCAATTAAGTCGGTTTTTCTCGATTCGGTTTATGTCGGTTTTTTATTTTTTTCAGTTATTTGTCGGTTTTTTCTTAAATATAAGACATAACACATATTCCAGCGGCCACATTTTCAATGTAACACTATCAAATCAATTGCCCTTTGAGAAATCTATTATTTACAAAGATATATTGATGATAATTGAATCAAATAGTGATGAATAATTTAAGGACTCAATTAAAAATATGTTATTTTTAACACGAAATGGATTCTTACACTAAACAAAAGAAAACTACCAATCAAACTAGAATGTAAAGGTAAAGAACTATATTAAAAGTGCAAACTATTAACATTTACCATAAATTTTTTTGAAACTTTGTATAACAATATACATATATATATAGGTATAATAATAAATTTGAAATAGCTACTCCTATAGTCGGTTTGGTTCGGTTTTTTTCTGATTAAAACCAAAACCAAACCAAATTTGATCGGTTTTTAAAATTCAAAACCAAAACCAAACCAAACCAAAAAGTATCGGTTTTTTTGGTCGGTTTGGTTCGGTTTTTCGGGTTTTTATGAACACCCCTAACCCTAATACTCGACCTCCACATCTTCCTATCAAGTGCCATGTCCTCGGAAATCTGAAGCCTCTCTATGTCCTGAATGATCACCTATCCCCAATACTTCTTACGCCGCCCTCTACCTCTTCTCGTGCCCTCCACAACCAGCCGCTCACATCTCCTTACCGGAGTATCTGGGCTTCTCCTCTTTACATGCCCAAACCATCTGAGCCTCGCTTCCCGCATCTTGTCATCAATGGGAGCCACGTGCACCTTCTCCGAATATCATCATTCCTAATCTTATCCATCCTAGTGTGCCCGCACATCCACCTCAACATCCTCATTTCTGCTACTTTCATCTTCTGGATATGTGAGTTCTTAACAGGCCAACACTCAGCCCCATACATCATGGCCGGTCTAACCACAACTTTATAGAACTTACCTTTGAGTATCGGTGTGCACTCTCTTGTCACACATGACTCTAGATACTAACCTCCACTTCATCCATCTTACCCCAATACGGTGTGTGACATCCTCGTCGATCTCCCCTCCCCCCTGGATAACTGACCCAAGGTACTTGAAGCTGCCTCTACTTTGGGATGACCTATGATTCAAGCCTCACATCTACGCCCACTTTCCCCGGCTCAGCGCTGAACTTACATTCTAGTATTCTGTCTTCGTCCTGCTCAGATTGAAACCCTTAGACTTAAGAGCATGTCTCCAAACCTCCAGCCTCTCGTTAACACCGGCTCGTGACTCATCAATTAGAACTATGTCATCAACGAATAACATGCACCATGGCACCTCCCCTTGAATATGGTGTGTTAACGCGTCCATCACCAGGGCGGATAAGAATGGACTGAGCGCAGAACCTTGGTATAACCCCATAACAACCGAAAAATGCTCAGAGTCGACTCCTACTGTCCTAACCCGAGTCTTAGCCCCATCATACATGTCTTTAATCGCCATAATGTAAGGAACCGACACACCTTTTGCCTCCAAGCATCTCCAGAGAACTTCTCTAGGAACCTTGTCATACGCTTTCTCTAGGTCAATAAATACTATATGCAAATTCTTCTTTCTATCTCTGTACTGTTCCACCAACCTCCTAACAAGGTGAATAGCTTCTGTAGTAGAACGACCCAGCATGAACCCGAACTGGTTGTCGGATACAGACACCGTCATCCTCACCCTCGCTTCAACAACCCTCTCTCCCACTTTTATGGTATGACTCAGTAATTTGATACCCCTATAATTGTTACAACTCTGGATATCACCTTTGTTCTTATACAATGGAACACCGTACTCCACCTCCACTCTTCCGGCATCCTCTTTGCCTTAAAAATAACATTAAACAACCCAATCAACCACTCCAAACCTGTTCTTATACAATGGAAAAATAAAAAATTAATTCAAAAAAAAAAAAGAATTTTTTTTATAGCCAAACGGCCCTTAGTATTTTAAAAGAAGTGGGTGAGGTAGTTGCTAGGAAGCGTGGCAATCACCACGACGTCGTTGACAATTTAGCGGGAGCACGTGGCACTATTGCATCTAAAACATGAACTAAAACATGTTTAAATAATAATAATATAAATTTATCATAATTTTTCTCCCTAAAACACGATTATTATTCCCTTTCATTCATATATTATTTCAAGCCTAAACAAAATTTCAATATGGATGCAAAACTTTATATGAAACTGAACAATGGTATATTTCGTTTACTTTTAAGATTCGCCTGTAAAAATATCTCAAAACAAAAAAATATATATGATCATAATAAATATATTAGCTTGTGGAGATGAAAGCATAAGATGATTAAAATATTTTAATAATATTACTTGCTAATTAAGTAAGTGACCATATACTTCTATAATAGTCATGTTAAAATAATACGTTCAAAGCAAGGATTATGAATATATCTAGACTAATTTTTTTTAAAGAGAAGATCGTATAAAATTTTAACTTATATTATAAAAATGATATATATATATATCGATTCTATTCACTTTTTCTTGTTCAAAACCAAAATCAAAACCAACCCCCTCCCCCCTCCCCCCACCTCTGTTTCTCCGTCAATTCAGAAAATCCCTTTATTATTATTATACTATAATAATATAGTTTATATTTTTATGGATACCGATAAACATCCAAATCCGGACGTACCAACGAACCAGACTCAATGAGAAGAAGTCTTTGGAAGGAAAGGGGAAGTCAAAGTAAACTGTCCTCCTCTCTCTCTCTCTCTCTCTCTCTCTCTCTCTCTCTTTGTTCGTCTCTTTTTATGATCATTCTTGAATTTTCTATTTCAGGTAAATTTCTTACAAGGGATTCATTTTTGTGATTATATATCCTTTGTGGGTCTTTGTATTTATGTGTGATTTCAGCTTTTGCTTCAAGTTTAAGAGTAAAAGATTATGTTTTTAACGACTTTGATGTTAATGGTTTTCATGGGAAATTTGACATGTTTTTGACTTTTCCCATTTTCTTGCAGTTTTTTGTTTTGACTGTGATTAGTTGCGAACACAGGGAAATTGGGTTTGTAAATTTCTGAGTTTTAGTGGGGGAAAAAGCTGAGCTGTCTTTTGGAAGTCAAGTTGATTGAAAAAAAGAGAAAAAAGTGGGAATCTTGTATTGAGTATTGGAATGGAAGGGGTCTAATTGGAGTGGAATTATTATGAAGATTCATATAACGGACTCCGACTTGTTCTGGATTGAGGCGTAGTTGTTGTTGTTGTTGTTGTTGTATTACATGAGGATTTTTTGAGCTTTGAGGTTATGGGGTTATATGTGAGTTGACTTGTTTTAGGAAAGATTTAGATTGGAAATCAAGTTGATTGCACTTTTCTTTTGAGCTTTTCGACATTTTGTTGTTCATTAAAGACAAATTATTGAGTATCGGAATGAAACAGGTCCAATTAGAGAAGAATGATTTTTGAGGATTCATATAACTGACCCTACTTGTTTTGGATTGAGGCGTTGTTGTTGTTGTTGTTGTTGTTGTATTACATAGGATTTTGAGCTTTGAGATTATGGGGTTATATGTGAGTTGACTTGTTTAAATTGCGGTTAAAGAAAGAAACTTTGGCATATATTTGCTTACTTATATCTACAATGGAGGAAATTTGAGATTGTTGGTTGTCATTGATGTTTCGTTGAGTAACAAATAGAAAAAGCAGTCTTGAAACTTGGATTCGCGTGAAGTATGATCAAGCCGGAGCTGGGAATTGAGTTGGAAATGTGAATTTGCAAAGAATTTGTATGATCATGTGGGAGTTGCTTTAGTTGAATTTATCGAAGGAAATCAAGATCTTAAGAATTTTGTCTGGTTTGTACGCGTATGCTGTGAATATAAAAAGTTGATCTTCGTTGTCCGTTGGGATTTCTCGCTTCTAGTTGAGCTTTGCATTGTGATTTTGAATTGAACTTAAAAATGGATGAAGCTCCTTGTAGCGCCAATACACTGCCTCCGTTTATTGCAAAGACATACGAAATGGTAGATGATCCCTCCACAGATCCAATAGTCTCCTGGAGTTCGAATAATAAAAGTTTCATTGTTTGGAATCCTCCTGATTTTGCAAGAGAATTGTTGCCTAGATACTTCAAGCACAATAACTTTTCCAGCTTTATTCGACAGCTAAACACTTATGTAAGAAATTTGCTTTACTTAAATTGAGTTTCAATCTTTTACCGTTTCTGTTCTTATTATCTTATCTCTTGCCTCTTTTGTCAAACCAGGGATTCAGGAAAGTAGATCCTGAACAATGGGAATTTGCGAATGA